GAGGTGAGGCGCTTCATCGATCTCCGAGTTCTCGAGTTGGCTTTGAGGCGTCTCGGGCGGAGGGTCCTCCGCCAAACCTGCCGAGTGGGCTGCGATCGATGCGTCGCTGCCTTCCGAGAAATGCTGCGATGACCACGCACCGCCACACCCGGGTGTCTTGGCCAGGTGCAACCGACCAAAGAACACGCCTGTGGTGGTGGCTTGCCGGCTGAGGCTGAGATCGCGCGAGCGTGCGCGGCTCCGCGCAGTGCCAGGGGTCTCCTCTGACTTTGACAGACCTTGGAGCTGACTGCGAAGCGAGGCGCCAGCCCTAAGTTTCGAGACACCAAGCTCTCAACTCTCAACCAGTTTCCTTATCTTTTAGTGAATCCAACCATCCACTCTTATTGGGGCAGTCTCCAGTCTCCATGTGTTATCTTCGCACGTCTCGGATCATGGTGTATCAGCTAGCACCGTGATGCACCCTGCACCAACAACGGACGCTCCAACACCATTGATGTCGAAGGATGAGTTGATCATGCAATGCCCGTAGTTGAGCATTCCGCCCACCGATGCCCATCTGACACTAAACGTACCCCACAACGGCCCAAAGCCCGTGTGGTAGTCTGGAGGTCATCTAGCCTAGACCTAGACTACAATGATACTACAATGGGCAGGTTTGGCAGGTTTGGTAGAGAGTTCCCGGAATCAAACGAAACTCATCCCTTGGAAATTGATTCAATGACATTTTAAGCAGCAGCTTTTTTGTGTGTCTTTGTGGACATCAAATGAAAGGAAACTGCGCTGAGAACAATAAGTATCAACTGCTCTGCCCTTTTTTCTCCCGCATCAAACAGCGTCCTGACATCAGACATCGGGGGTGGTGGCGGTGGCTGGTTGTCTCGCCTCGATTGGAAGAGCAGTGGTACGACCTGCTCCTCGTGGCCTCTGAAGAGCTTGGCACCCCTTTCCATCTCCTGGAACATCCGATGCCACTCATGAGTTTGACTCCGCTGAACGTCGATCTCAGTCAATGGGCAAATCACCTGCAAACTTGGGGTACTTTCGTGTGCTTCTTGTGTATGCTGTGCTGGAGCAACACGCACAACGCCACCTGTAGAAAAGGCCGGCTGCGAATAGAAATCGAAAAAGCGGCGTAGAGTTTCGGTGATGCGCTGCTCGGAAAAATTGTCTGCTTCCTTGTGCCAAATGCTTGAAGCTTCGACAGATTCGACAAACCTGCTCTCTTCACTCAGCTTTTGCACCTTCTGCCGTGTCAAGTCCGTTTCACCTTCCTGAAGGACATGCACGGTCATCAGGACAAGAGTGTAGGTACTAAATCCACCTTTTGCGCGGTCACCCAGCTCACGACAACGAGCCCAATGCTTTAACAAGCGTAGTACTGGAGCAAGGGCTGGCTCAGTACCGCAAAACTTTCGCACCAGAATGGAGTTTGATATACCTTCGGTGTTATTCACCGAAACATCGCAAAGAACGTCATCATTGTCCCCAAAGAACTTGAGCACCGGGACTCTTGCTTTCTGCACCCAAACCTTCTTCACACCAATCATCTTCACACGTTCCACATGCTCTCGCAAGAGCTTCAAAGCTTTGAAGTGCACAATCTTTTCCTTCTCTGGCTGTCGAGAAACCTCAGCCCTGGGCTTCATCGGGTCTGCCTTTGGTGGTGGTGCAGGTCGTTGAGGTTGCACTGCTTGCAGCACTGTTGATGATGGTGCAGCTGATGGTGGTGGTGGTGGTGGTGGTGGTACCTTCCGTGTTGGCATTTGTGGTGGTGGTGGTGGTGGTGGTGGTGGTGGTGGTGGTGGTGGTGGTGGTGGTGGCAGTGGTGGTGGCGATGGTGCCATTGACCGTTCGCGCATGCCGGATCTACGAGCAAATCTGTTTAGCAACTGCCGCTCGTCGCAGATCCAACTCAGGTCAACATCGGAGCCCTGCATAAAGGTACCGTTGCTACTGGAGCCATAGCAGTACAGGTCTCCACCCAGTTTGCGACAAACAGCCTTGAGCTTTTGAAGCATCTGCTGCGCATCCTGCAACTGCTGCGATGATGGCCGCAGCTCCTTCTCCAGTTTCCCCAGCTCCATGCTCAAGTGGTTTCGTGTCCATCCAGCAGTGGATGTCAACGTTGCACACAGCCAGCGTCCGAGCAATGCCATGGCTAATATGAGACATCCCGTGGATCCTCCAAACCAGATTATTCTCTTCCGAACAAGATTCAATGAAAGCCATTCCCTGACCCTTGCAATTGAAACCCTGCAGAACTGTAAAATGTATATGCTACATACATGTTCCGACAGTTTCCAATGTCCCCACCAAATGCCAACAAAATATTAGAAAACCCAGATCCCCGTCCAACGATGGTTGCTGAGATCTCTTGATGTGTCTGTTGACCTGCATGACCGTTCAAAGGGGCACGAAGCCCTAGATCTAAAATGGCACCGAAAAGTCAGAGTCAATCAGAGTCCTCCGTTCCCGCCTTTGCCCCAAATATCCCAGGGTAGTCCTTGCTCCTAGAAAAGTGGACAGAAGACAGCAGAAGAGGTTTTGGGAATGGAACGTCCACTCAAGTAACATCCGGACTTCGCTTTTCCCAATAGACTTGCCAAGCCACAAAGTTGCTGCAAACACAAACATCAACCGTTTGGAACTGTCAACCCCTTTTGGGGGCCGTCACGCCGCTGGGATCCCGCCCCGCTGTGTCCCATCCGCGCGACCCTGCAGCTCAGCGCGGATCTTCCGGAGGTCTTCGCCGCGCAAGCGCTCCTTCCGAATCGTCGGTGAAAAGGGCTAAAAATGATCCGGTGCTGGCTCGGAGCCGATGTCTGTTGGTTTGGATGCCAAAGTGGGGGTGGAGTTTGGGAGAAGAAACTCCGTTACAAAAACAAATTTCTTCAGTCCGGTCCAACATGCATTTTCTCTCCTCCTGGGTGACGCCCTCGAAGGGGGATGGCTCTATTGCATCACGGCCACAGCCCGCAGAAACGAATTCCAATATCTCTCCTCAAAAGGAAGCTAACTGAGCAACGATGGAATTCGTGAAGAACAGGATGAACCAAGAAAAATGACTCAGTAAGCAGTCAAAGGTGCCTTTTGTGCAGGCCACTTCACACGATGCACAGGAGAAGAAATGCCTAAGTCGCAGGCCCCTTACCGCAAGCTTGTCAAGAGTGCAAGCTGGGTCAATCAATGTCAATAATCCGCCGACCCCGGCCTATAGCCAAAGCCTAGGCGGGGAGGCGCCTGGGACACCGCAGGGTGAAGCAGTTGGCCAAGCCTAGCAGAACCCTTCAAGCACTTCCAAAAGCGCAGGATGCAGCAGTTGGCCAAGCCTAGCAGAACCCTTCCAAGCACTTCCAAAGGCCTGTCCGAGGCCTCACCACCTGGCCGGCCTGTTGCGGCCTCTCTGTGGCCTGTCCGAAGCCTGCCTCCTCTCTTCTTATGGGCTTCCGAAGGCAACGTGAGGCATTTTGGACCGGCTTCAAAAGCCTCTCGGCAGACGGCAGGCCTCTTGCGGCCTCTCTGTGGCCTGTCCGAAGCCTGCCTCCTCTCTTCTTATAGGCTTCCGAAGGCAACGTTAGGCATTTTGGACCGGCTTCAAAAGCCTCTCGGCGGCCGGCAGGCCTCTTGCGCGCGGCCTCTCTGTGGCCTGTCCGAAGCCTGCCTCCTCTCTTCTTATGGGCTTCCGCAGGCAACGTTAGGCATTTTGGCTCGGCTTCAAACGCTCCCCAGAGCCTCACCGCAGCCTTGCCCTCTTCTCGGCAGCTGGCAGGCCTGCCTCTTCTCTTCTTATGGGCTTGTGAAGGCAACGTTAGGCATTTTGGAACGCTCCCCAGAGCCTCACCGCAGCCTTGCCCTCTTCTCGGCAAGCTTCCGAAGGCGACGTTTAGGCATTTTGGACCGCCTTCAAAAGCTTTTCGGCCTCTTGCGGCCTCTCTGTGGCCTGTCCGAAGCTTCTCGGCAGCCGGCAGGCCTCTTGCGGCCTCTCTGTGGCCTGTCCGAAGCCTGCCTCCTCTCTTCTTATGGGCTTCCGAAGGCAACGTGAGGCATTTTGGACCGGCTTCAAAAGCCTCTCGGCAGCCGGCAGGCCTCTTGCGGCCTCTCTGCGGCCTGTCCGAAGCCTGCCTCCTCTCTTCTTATGGGCTTCCGAAGGCAACGTTAGGCATTTTGGCTCGGCTTCAAACGCTCCCCAGAGCCTCACCGCAGCCTTGCCCTCTTCTCGGCAGCTGGTTGAATGCCAGCATTGGTGTGAAGCCCATCCAAGTCTCGCTGTTGAATCCCAGGAAGTTGTCAAGGTTCAACCGCCAAACCCTCGAGATGAAAAGGGGTCGGCGGCACCCGGGCGGAGCCCTTACAATAAGGCCAGCCAGGATCACGCCACACTTCGTGGCAGCATGCACTCAAAGAAGCACGCTTTACAGCAACTCCACCCAAAACCTCTCACAACTGCTTACAGTATCACTATCTCGAACTCCTGGCAGAAACGTTTCTGTTCAGCCAAGCAGTCTTTCCTCAAAACAGCATGTTCCTTCGAACCAAAGGTTTCTTGCTGCAGGGCCTGTCAGAATAGAGTCTGTTTCACTCACTCACTCTCTCTCTCTCTCTGGATCGGCCAAAGCGGCATTGGATTACGCAGGCAAGCACATGCCCTTCAGGCATGCGCCTAACCCATGGCTGAAGAGCTTCCATGAAGAATTGTGGAACAATCACCAACGTGACTTGACACTCCAACAAAACTCCATACATCTTCACATCTTTGATGGCGATGTTTCTTTCTTGCCTGCTTGGCTTTCTTTCTTGCCTGCTTGGCTTGCCATGATGCTGAAAATGGATTCCATCGACAATCAGGTGAAGTTTCCCACCGTGAAAAGACCTTGCGCTTATGTCAGCTTGAACCATCCATAAGTTATGCCATAAGATGCAACTGCTTCAAGAAAGGCGTGTGGCATGCATCGCTCCGCGCAATGCAAGTTGAGCTCAAAATACCAATCTTCACTGGCCTTCCGTGTCGGCATGGCAATGGCAAGAACTTGTAAAACAACTATATAATATTACTATATTATATATTATATACTAGTAGAATTATATATATATATAGAGATGAGGTGATATTGACTCATGTTCACCTTGAGCACCAGTGGGTTGAGAGGTGTGCAAAGAGCTGTGCGGTGTGGCACCCATAGGGTATGAACCGACACCTGGTCCAAGAGCCAATGCAATGAGACTGCAAACAACTCAACAGGGCAAAGGAAGCAATGAATTCGACAAGCCAATGCGAAAGTAATCGAAAGTAGGTGCCTTCATATCTGCATGGAGTGGAGCCGCCCTGGTACTTTTTACAGCAGCGTGGCGTGTGAATCGCTCTCTGGCCTGTTCCACTACTCGGGGTGAACCTCCACGCTCTTCTCGAATTGATTGCTCCAAAGCTCTGCGTGTTTATGCTGCAAGAGTAGATAGTGAGGCATGCGTTTCCAAGCCATTTTTCTCCAGCATATGAGTGTCTTCATGTGTCTTCCATGCTTACATTCCGGATAAAACTCAATCTGCTGACAATCCTTTCTCTCAGATATTCGGTGCTCTACCAAGTTGCTGTGGGATCATCGTCCTGGAAACGAGCTCCAACGACTTCAAAGCGAGTTCCGGCGCAGGGTCAAGCGAACGCGTGCCATGGCGAGTGCCATGGCGAGTTCAGGCACCTCCAAACGCTTCTCCGTCCAGGCACCATGGCCTCGGGAATGGGTATGTTGGTGGTTTTGTGTCTTGCTTCAGCTGCAGCGAGAAGGGAACTGTGTGAGAATACTGAGTTGAATGACCCCAGAAGTGATTCAAAGGAATCGGAGCACTGATGTCAACCTCAGAAAGCAAAATGATCAAGACTCAAGACCTTCTTGAAAGCAGCCTCTTTCTCAAAGTCTTCTCAGAACTGGACTGATGTTCCGTTACACACTCCAATGTGAATCTTGCAATAGGCTCGGCAATCACCTTACAAATACAGTATTTGAGAAATTCGCTAATCCACTTTGCAGCTCAGCAAAAGGCATCACCTTGCCAACATTTCGTGGACTGCGTGGAGTTGGTCTGATTAAGTTGCCAGCGATAGAAGCAAACCTCAAGGCACTTGGTGGCCAGTGCTTTGGCTTCATCAAGGCCTCAAGGTCATCAGAAACTTTGTCATCTTTAGGTGCAGAAACAGCTATCATCGTCCACGGCCACTCTGAGGGTTGGGTAATGAGTGGGAATCCGGGCAAAAAAGTGAACAAAATCCCAAGGACTGGAGCTGGGCAGAATGTGTTGACTTAACTTCCTGCATGTGCAAGTCTCGGTGTGGTCAACTTAGAACGGACACACTGAGTCACAGGCTCATGTCAGCACGCCAGCTGTTGCGCAGCAGTGGACTGCAGGGAAAAGAGCCACTAGTCAACCACACTTCTTGCGGGTCACGTCTGCTTGCTTTTGTGGATATCACATTGAGCAATGCTCAAATAGCGCCCTTAAGCCTGACTCTGACTCTATTCTACTACTGGAAATATGGCATTTCCAACAATCGACCATGTCAAAATTCATCAAAATTCTAACATTGAGCCGATGACATTCCCAAATGCATGCCGAAGCCAGTGGCTACAAAGTTCTCCTCAAACGCCGTTCCTGAAGCATGAGAGCTATCTGTACAATACACACACAAAGCCCGCACACACTGCAAATAATGAAACCACCTTGATGGTCGACATACATCAAGTGGGCTGGCTCGTCCTGCCAAGTAAGGATACTGTCTGAACCTGATGCAGTTGATAAGATGCACGAGGCCTTCTTCTTGCCAACCACCACAAACTGATTGTACAATGGATTGAACCTCAAGTCTTGTACAGGTTCAACAAGCAGGTTTCGCTGAAGGACAAGCCTGGCGTCCATCATTCTTGCCATCAAGGTGCTTGCTTCTGCGATTGTACATGACTCGGCCAATGTACGAGGAGTACTCTTTTGGACCTGAGATCTGTTGGGGCGGGTAACATATATTTGACAGTTATTTGCACTATATCCATGTGTAAACACATAATATATCCTGTACATCAGACCTTCCGGAAGCCCTTGGACCCTTGGATCATCCAAAACTTCTGGCAAAGGCCCGCTCCCATGAAGCAGCCATCCTCATTGAGCCAGTCCTTTTGCAAGCTGATCAAAACTTTGACCTGTCACTGATCTGCAACGTAAGGACTTTTGAGTGTGAAAATCACTCATAAACTCATTGAAAGTCATACCATAAACATTTATATCGCGATATAAAGCCTCCCTCGTCCTCATCCGCCATCTCGTCGAGCTGGTCGCTCAAGTACTGGAAGTCACTCAGCTCGCCGCCGCCACCTAGAGGTTGTCAGCGTCTCTGTCGGGTTGGGGCTGGTATGGACTAGTATTTGTGTTTCTTTTTCGCATTTGTTGTATATATTCTTCCATATTCTTCCTCACCTTCAACTCTATGAACAACACGGAACAATGGCATGATTGAGGAAAAGTGAGGTTGCTGCTGGTTGCTTACTCCCTTCATCCACCAGTGATGCCTTTTGACATCTTTTGACTAGGGCTCCTACCAAGCAGTGTGTATTCGCCCACTTTCTTTAATCGACACCTGGAAATCAAGAACTGAAGCAACGAAAGGCCGCAGAGTTGTTCTCAAACAATTATTGTGCTGCATTTAAGCCCGTTGCACGTCTTTGTAGCGGGCTTCTGAACCATACGACCTTGAACTTGAGAGCATATGCTGAATCCAGCAATCAAAAGGCCCTGTGGCTACAAAACGGCCTGTGTTCTATTTCGGACACAGGACAGAACGCATTTCAGAAGAACACTCAAGAAAGCGGTCTTTTTATGGCCTAACCAGTCGGAGAAGGGGAGGGCTTATAGGAGGCCTTACCTTCCCTTTGTCCTTGTTTCTGTTTTCTGGGTGCTCTGACGCCAATGTGTCGGCGGCCAGGATGACGCCATCCTTGTACTTCATGCCAATCACGGTGGCCCCCGTGACGATTGGAGACAGCCTCCAAACTGGACCATGAAATCCAACATCGATACACCAAACATGTCCCTTTTTGCTAGTAGCGATGGCCTCCAACCTAATAGCGATGGTCTCCAAGCTATTAGTAGTGCTCAGGTCTTCCCGGACATACTTAATCAGTGGCAGCCCTAGCATGCTCGGTACACAGGTCGGAGCAGTGCTAAAGTGCTGAGTTTGTGGCGTATGCTGCTTTGGATCGGTGGAGTACTGGCCCGGCGCCATGGTCTGGCCCGGTGAGACGTCTCAGACTCACTGACTCCAGGGATGTAGAAACCGAGGCTCCGGCTGCCGTGTCTGCCGGCCAACTTTCTCGAAACAGTGACTCAGCCAAAAGGGTCGAGGCGAGGCGAGCAGTGCCAATCCTCAAGGTCTGTTCTGGATCAAAAACATAGCAATCCCAACCGTGCCCTTATGCCAGGTTGGACTGGATGAACAACTGGGAGCCAACATTGGCACTCAAGGACAAACCCATGTTATTCCTCTTCAGTCCCGTCTGATCGCATCTGCACGTAATCTTCGTAAGTGCACCACATGCGTCCTTTTTCACAGCTGCACAATTCCCAACATGAAGAAGCAGCCTTTGGCTGGGGAATCAAGAAGCAGCTTGTTTCAGCAGCTCTCTTCAGCATCACGGCCTGCACCTCGGGTCACCGGGGTCGACGAGATATGCGAGTCGAGTCTTGGTTTGTCCATCGAGGCCCTAAGGCAACAAGAAACTCCAGTAACAAGAAGCTATACTAGTAAACAAGGGCATCGCTATTAGTAACAAGGGCATCGCTACTAGTAGTAAGGACACTACTAGTAACAAGAAACTACAGTAGTAATACCTTGTTGCCAGTAAATTCATGAGAACCGGTCGCGGCCAGTCATGCTTGACTTTTCGCGGGTTTTGACATTTGATCAATGCTCACCGATGATCCTGAAGAATCGAATCTAGATACAAAGGTGTTGTCTTGGTTTGGATCGGATCAGGTGCCTGAGGAGCAATCGCATTATTCATACTTGCAAAGGGAACCATGCTATGACAGCTGATGAAGCGTCTCTGGCTGCTCATGGAGCATGTTGAAATGAGGAAGAAAGACAGAATGCAAATACAAAGGGCAGCTAATCGAAAAACGATGTCAGCTGCCAGCTCGCCTCAGGGTGAATTCAAATGAGGCAGGCCGCCAAAGCCGTAGCCTGAGCACCAGTGGAGAAGCTACAGCAGCTACAGTCCCCAAAGTCATTTTGGAATCATTTAAACAACACATCAAAGTTCAACTAAGAAGAAGCTGAGAGCTGCTAAAGGCGAGCTGAAGAGCTGCTAAGCAAAGGACTGGCAAGGTCTTGATAGGATACACTCTCCACCTTGCTGCGCGGCCGGAAGCGATTCCTCGCTGTGGCCCGATGGCCCTGTGGCCCTTCGGAAGTGACAACACCAAAATGTATCGGTTTCTTCGGCCTTGGAACCGGATCCTTCCTCAGCCCAACACAATCGTTTGGTAGCGGGTGACCTCCAAGAAGTCCAGAATTTCCTGGTAGAATCAGCTAGGCTATGTCAGTTTGTGCCCACTGATTGTGTTACTCAAGTTTTGCTGGAAACAAAACATGGACAACAAGAATCATATGTGGTGGTTGATCTAAATTCCTTTCATCTGGAAAGTGCCTCTTCGCGAAAAAAATAAAAAGATTACTTTCACGAACCCCATGTTTAACTTTCGCAAACTTTCGCGAAGTATGATCTTACATATTCAGAAGAAGTTCGGGTACATGGGTATATATAGTAGTTAAAGGAAGACTCTGATTTCCTTCTGAGCTGGTGGTCTGAAAAGATCACAGTAAGCAAACAAATAAGGGTCCCTTTACCTACAAATAACATACATGGTTTACATGAACTTTCGCGAAAAAAAAAGATTACTTTCGCGAACCCTGTGTTTAACTTTCGCGATCTTTCGCCCGGTTGGTACTTAGTAACCGAAATGGCTGTTCCATATGAAACTCCTTTCATGGACCTTTAGATCGATGCCCATGTAACTGCGCAGGCCTGGCAGGGGCCTGCATAGCCAGATTTGGCCACAAGCTCGCGGATGGCAACTTCTCGGGTCATACCTTTCCATCGGCAAGCGCAGAGTAAACGCACACTCAAGGACATCAGAATCACAAGACAAGAAATCTTGTGAAGGGCTGAGCGTTCAACCGTGCTCTTTGGCCACCTCTGGCAAGTATGTCGCCGAGAAACGCCTGGTTTACTGTGGAACGCGCAAAAGAGAGGGAAGAGAGACACAGAGAGAGAGAGAGTGTGAGAAAGAGTGTGAGAGTGATCTGCCCCTGCAACAAAGACCAGGCAAGAGCCTTCCCTGCGAGTCGGAGAAATTGAGCAGCACACCATGCCTTGCATGGCATGAAACACGCACGAGGATTGTGAAGATACCAATCCAAAATGGATCAGTAGTTTAAACCCCTGCCCCCAACAGAAACAAACAAATCGGACTCAGCATCCTGCACGCCAACTTGCCAGTCGAAGGCATGAGCGCAGGGCTCAAATTGATGAAGGATGGAGATTCTGCACGTCAGTGAAGGTACCTGCTTGTTTGAGGCACTAAAGCTTCAGTGCGGAAACTCTCGGTGCAACTTCAGTGCAAGCACTCTCCAAGAACAATTGGAACAGTTGCATGTTAGGAATAAGGATGCTACTAGGGGCTCCTGGCATCGCTACCAAGAGCAAGGACGCCACTAGGGGCTCCTGGCCTTACTACGGATGAATATGTTTCCGGATTTTTTCATATTTTTTCCGGGAATTTGTTTTACGTTTTTTCCCCTACTGTTTTTGCTTTTGTTTCTGCTGGGAGTGCTTTACAAGCACTAGGAGCAGCAGAAAGGGCAGGGGACGAAGCACCAAAGCCAGCGTGACAGTGACAAAGGGAGGGAACAGACAAGGTATTCCACTTACTAGGGACTTCTTTGCGGTTGTCTTTAGCTTCACTGGTTTCGGGTTTCTTTGGGCTCGGTTTCTTGTCTTTAGGGTTTCTTTAGGCGTTCTTCCGGAAAAGGCATCCCACTTAACGACGGAGAAGTAGGAGGAGAGAGGAACTATAATAGGGACTTTTCTGCGGTTGTCTTTGGGTTTCAGTGGTTTCGGGTTTCTTTGGGCTAAGCAAAGTAGAAATCCACCTTTGTGGCAGCGTCAACACAAAGAAAACAGTAGTTGTGGTAACTGTGGTAAGACTCGTAGCGGGGTGGTCCGAGTGATAGAGGTATTGGAAATAGTAGGGGTGGTGGACGGTAGTGGCAACTATTTAAACAAAAAAAGCGGGAGGGGGTGCGGGGGAGGGCGCAGCGCCTCCCCC